TTCGATACAAAGAACTTTCTTCCTGTCACTATTGTGACTGGGGAACATGTCAGGATGGAACATGGTTTTGGTATATTCCACATTTTATATCACATTAAAATAATGTGCCAGAATTATGTAAATTAAATTACCCTTCAAGGGTTAAAAATGCAGCCTGGATATATTGGATGCCAGGAAATGACCACAGCTGGCATTATGTGGTTTGATAAACCACATTAATATTTTATTAAAACTTAGTAAACAGTAATTATTTGGAATATGAGTACTAGTTCAAACCCAGTACACAGCACACATTTTCACCAGGAAAATGGTAAACTCCAGATGTAGAGAGTCTGCTAGTTTGGTTTCAAACAAATTGTGATTCATTTGAAAGTTGGGTGACCAGCAAAACTCAAAACTCTATATGCACCGACAATGGACGAAAATGTTTTGTTTGTTTCGGAATTTGAAGTTCAAGTAAATCACCTTGCTAACCCGAGGTAAGAGGGGCTGACAACCTAAACCTAAAAAGAGCTGCTTAGAATAGGGCGTAATAGTACGCCCTCCGGTTTTAAGGGGCTAAACGGTATCTATAGTGTCAGGAATATAAATGTGGATTCTTGACACCATACTTCTAAAACCACCATTTAGGTCAGGCTTCCTCAAACTCCAGCCCTCCAGATGATGCTGAACTACAACTCCCATGATTCTCAGCCTATCTATTTCATTGATAGAATCATGGGAGTTGTAGTTCAGCAACATCTGGAGGGCTGGAGTTTGGGGAAGCCTGACCTAAATGGTGGTTTTAGAAGTATGGTGTCAAGAATCCACATTTATATTCCTGACACTATAGATACCCTTTAGCCCCTTAAAACCGGAGGGCGTACTATTACGCCCTATTCCAAGCAGCTCTAAACGCCGCAGGGCGTAATAGTACACCCTCCAGTATTTTCTTACTTACCCGGTCGCCGGCGATCTCACGCCGGGGATCGCGGTCAGGCTACTCACCTGGGATCCCAGGGAGTCCCCCACGGTGGATCCTTCCTCCTGCGGCCCCCCAGCCATGTGAGAGTGAGGTCCTTGCGAGGACCTCACAATCACATGGCCAGGTTAGCTTGCTGCTGCATTGCTAGCAGGGGGACTGCCTGTAATGACAGTTAGTCCCCCTGCTGGCTGGAAATAAAATAAAATTAAATTAAAATCTGTGTAAAAAAAAAATAATATACTTAGATCATGATCTAAGTATATATATACACATATATACACACACACATACACTGTCTAGGTGTATTTTACTAATAATATATATATAATTATATATTTATTAATATCAAATTACACATAGACTGATACTGATTAAATATATATATAATTATTGTTATATATATATTTATATATAATATAAAAAAAGTAAACACGTTAAAAAATAAAATTAAAAAAATTATTAAAAATAAATAATTAAAAATTATATAGATGTGTGTTATTTCGTTCTAACTGTATTGTGATATTAATATATATATATATATATTTATATCAAAATACACGTAGAACAAAATAATATATATATATCTATATACATAAATATATACGTATATATCACTATATATATACCTATATATAAATAAAAATATAAAAAAAATTATATATATATATATGCATATATATATATATACACATATGTATATATATATATATATATATATATATATATATATATATATATATATATATATATATATATATATATATATATATATATATAAAATGTCCAAATACTTGCACTCCTGTGATAGTAGGTTAATGCCTGGTGCTGATAAGGCAAATAACATAAAAAATAAAGTAATAGGTAATAGCACTCCAAGGACTTCAAAAAGTATAAGGTGAAAAACTTAGCTTTTATTCAGCAGCTGCCACACAGAATCGACGTTTCAGTTCTAATAGTAGAATAATAGTAGAACTGAAACGTCGATTCTGAAACGAATAATAGTAGAACTGAAACGTCGATTCTGTGTGGCAGCTGCTGAATAAAAGCTAAGTTTTTCACCTTATACTTTTTGAAGTCCTTGGAGTGCTATTACCTATTACTTTATTTTTTATATTAATTCTACATATATATTTATGTAATATTTTTACATAATTAGGTATCTTAATTACTTACAATTAGCGGGACCTGCCTGACAACCCATGCCGAAAGTAAAGGGAATTTAATTTGCTAGCACTATATTTAACCCTATAACTTTCCAAGACACCATAACACCTGTACATGGGTGGTACTGTTCTATTCGGGAGACTTCGCTGAACACAAATATTAGTGTTTCAAAACAGTAAAATTTATTACAACGATGATATCGCCAGTAAAAGCGACTTTTTTTGCATTTTTCATGCACAAACAGCACTTACACGGACGATATTATAGCTGCGATACTTTTTACTGTTTTGAAACACAAATATTTGTGTTCAGCGAAGTCTCCCGAGTACAACAGTACCCCTCATGTACAGGTTTTATGGTGTTTTCAAAAGTTACAGCATCAAATATAAGGCTTGCGTTTCAGTTTTTTCACATTAAAATTCGCCAGATTGGTTACGTTGCCTTTGAGACCCTATGGTAGCCAAGAATGAAAATTACCCCTATAATGGCATACCATTTGCAATAGTAGACAACCCAAGGTATTGCAAATGGGGTATGTCCAGTCTTTTTTAGTAGCCACTTAGTCACAAACACTGGCCAAAATTGGAGTTTTTTGCATTTTTCACACAAACAAATACTAACGCTAACTTTGGCCAGTGTTTGTGACCAAATGGCTACTAAAAAAGACTGGACATACCCCATTTACAATACCTTGGGTTGTCTACTATTGCAAATGGTATGCCATTATGGGTGTAAATTTCATTACTGGGCTACTATACAGTCTCAAAGGCAACGTAACCAATCTGGCGAATTTCAATTTCAAATGTAACGTGCTATATTTGACCCAGTAACTTCCCAAAACTCCATAAAACCTGTACATAGGGGGTACTGTCTTACACATCTATACTTTCATTACACCTCATGGGTGGGCCCTCTTTTATTAGAGGCCTACCACGACGTCGGTTCCGGCACACCTCAACTGACTTATTTCCCTTCTACTTCCTATATGGCCTTATTTGCCCCTCACACAAATAAGGTGAATTACGGTTGGACAAACATGTAGCGCAAATGCCAGGTTTTGTTTACGATTTGTTTTGTTCACAACGTGTACATTTGGCTCAGTCCTTAAGGGGTTAAGTTGTTTGGGGCAAGACAGATGCACTTTAATGAGAGAATACTAGATCCCAGCCTTGGAAGTCAGCTAATGTGCTGAGATACATTTCATAGTAATTTTGGACTAGACTAAAAAAAAAGATGGTACTTCTTAGGAGCTTCCTGGATTTTATTTGAAGATCTTCCACAAGTCTATCTACTATGAACCAGTTGATCCCAGTTCTATTCCGGTGACAAAATCAAGAAAAATAGAGCAACATTTCCGTGCCCTAATGCTTATTTTAATTATATTATTTACAACTTATTTTATATTTACACGATGGAAATTTTGAATAATCATAATAAATAACTTTATAAAGAGAGGCTGCTTGTGGAATAAATGAGTTTTGATTCAAATGTTTTTTTCATTTCATCTCAAGATGTGAAGCCTGTTTTGCTCAGTATAGGAGCATTAGCATTCTGTAGCGAATATGTAAGATAATAGTATTAAATGCAACTTTCCCTCTCGTTGTCATGGATTCAGCACAGCCTAATACTCGTGGCTGTAAACCAACAGTCTTTGCACAATCTCATTTTTATCTACCAATTTCAATTTAATTATGTCCAAAATTGTTTTGTTTTCAATTTGCTACAATGGAAATACTATGCGTCTCTCTCTCTCTGCAGTAGGACATGCACCTGCCACCATTTTAATGCATGTCCCAGTGCTGCTCATAAAGTCCTTCCCTTAAATCTGACCTTACTCTAGCACACTACGCATTAACATCTACACTACCCGACACTATCACTGCATATTAACCCCTACACTACCCTACACTATCACTGCATATTAACCCCTACACTACCTAAGACTATCACTGCATATTAACCCCCTACACTACTCCCCACTATCACTGCATATTAACCCCTACACTACCCGACACTATCACTGCATATTAACCCCTACATTACCCGACACTATCACTGCATATTAACCCCTACACTACCCTACACTATCACTGCATAGTA